AAAAAAAAAAAAAAATCATTCACTTCACAGGGGTTAGAAAAACACTTTGGGAATCCATCCGGCAAAGCGCCCTTAATTTGATTGCTTTTTATCTAATTCCTTCAAATCCCACTCAGATTAAAATCGTAATAAAAGGCAAAAACCGCTTTGGACAACTGTTTGGCAGTAGCTGCTGAAGCTACACATACCTGATGGACTTGCCATATTCCATCTACCCCGTGTAGAGCTGCAATGAAAGGTGTGTGCGGTTCACCGAGAGGCTTGGGCAGGGATTTTCACAGCAGTACTGCTCAAAACAGCCGACATTTTTCAAGAAACCGAAATGTTTGAGAGTAGAGTGGATGTATATTTATACAAAGGATTACTGCGTAATTAGGCCGTAATGAATCACAGCTACCCGCAGCATCATAGGTAGTTCTCATTGTCGAGCAATAGAAGGCAGGCATGTGTGCTCCCATTTAGGGAAACTTCAAAAACAGGTAAAACTAGCATATGGAGCTAGAAGTCAGCATAGCAATTAGGAGGCACAGTGACTAAGCAGGCATGCGGGGTGCAGATGGTATTTTAGTTCTTGATTAGGGGTGCTAGCTATAGGATATGGTGCATTTATGCAAATTCATTCACCTGTACACTTACGATTTGTGCATTTTTCTCAGTGTAAGTTATATTTCATTGACATTTACTTAAAAGGCATACCTCTTTCCTACTCCCAAGAAGGGGAAAAAATGTATTCAAAACTTCCTACCTACCTGGTCAGGGAGAACAGTATGATATTATATGTAAAATGCATAGTGTTTGATGAAAAGGAAAGAAAAAAAGCCAAGCTGTGGAACCGGCTCCAACAACCACAAACAAAGCGCCTGGTCAGGTAACACCCAAAGTCAGCTAACACCCATCATACAAACGATGTATTTCTTAACAACTTACAGGGTAGAATAGCAAGATGATGTCCGTGCTATTTAACCAGTTCCTGGCCCCAAGGAAGTACGTTTGGTTCCTGAAAATGACAGCGGCCAGGCTGCTTTATGAGGATTGAGGATCATACTGTCCCATCCCATGAATTAGGGCCTTCATGGTTTATAATTTACCAAGGCTAAAGAAAGACTAGATCATCTTTTAAGTTCTTAACAAAAATTTTACTTTCATTTTTCCTCCTGCCCCCAACTATTAAAATGGTGTGATCAAGTGTTATTTCAAAAACCTCTATCAATAGCAACACGTCCTTCAAAGACAACTATCCCAAGTGCTTTTTCTTGACACGAGTGATCTTCATGTATATCTTCTTTGGTGAAGTGTTAATTTAAATCTGTTTGCCCTTTTTTGAGTTGCTTGGTCTCATATTGTTGAGTTGTCATAGTTCTTTGTATATTCTGGATACTAGTCCATTTAAAAAATATGATTTGCAAAAATTTCTTTCAGTCTGTGGCAGGACATTCTATTTTCTCAGTGACGTCTTTCCAAGAGAATGCCGTTTTGATCTTGATGACATCCAGTTCGTCAATTTTTTTTTTTTTATGGATTATGCTTTTGTACAATATCTAAGAAATCTTCGCCTAATCCAAGGTCACAAAGATTTTCTACTATGTTTTTGTTTAGAGGCTTTACAGTTTTAGCTTTCTATTTAGGTCTATAATCCATTTTAAGTTAATTTTGTGTATGGTGTGAGGTAGGGTTTAATTGGACGTGTATATTCAGTTGTCCCATCATTGTTTGTTGGAAGGACTATCCCTTCCCTGTCAGATTGCCTTGGCACTTTATTGAAAATTGATTGGCCATAAGTGCATGGGTTTATTCTGAACTCTCTTCTGTTCCATTAACCTGTATATATCTGTCTTAACGCCAATACCATGCCGTCCTGATCGCTTGTAGCTTTGTAATAAGTTTTGAAATCAGGTGGTTTAAGTCCACCAATTTTATCCTATTCTTTTAAAACTTTTTTGCTCTCCTAGATCCTTTGTGTTGCCATATAAATTTTAGGATCAGCTTGTCAGCGTCTACAAACAAGCCGACTGGGATTTTGATAGAGATCACATTGGATCTATGGGTCAATTTAAAGAGACCGGTTAGGTCCTTTAGGAACGCGCGCGCTTACAGATAACTTTTACATAGCACTGTTAAATTGCAAAGACTGCTTTAACAGTTTTTCACTTAATTCCTCGGAAGGAGATCATGCATTTATGCTGGGGTGTTGCTGCTTTCCTCTTTCACCCCCATTAAAGGAAGGGAGTTGGTGCTCTGCCTGTTATGTTTTGAGCAGCTGGTTAAAGGGAACCAGAGCAATGGAAGGCAATAGAGTATTTCTCTGGGGACTCTTTTGTGCATAGTCACTGGGGAGGATGAGCTGCCATTCCCCCTTTGGCATAGCACATGTTTAGAGCAGGGGGTGCAGTGGGGGAGGCGAGGGGGCCCGCCGGATGCTCTCATCTGTGCAGGTTGGCTTTGCCCAGACTTGTGTAGAGCCCTCTGGGCTTTGTGAAAGCTGTCGGAGCAGAATGATTTATTCACCCTTGTCCAGGATACAAACTTTGGGCTAAGGCACACCCTTGTTACCCTGCCTGTTCAGGATGCTGCCTCAGGGAAAAAGCCTCCTGGAACAGGTGAGCGTTCAGCTCGGAGATCAAGCCGGACCGGGCGCCTTGGAAACCTCTCCCACTTGAAGGGGAAGAACGGCGGGTGCAAAGTGGGCTGAGTCAGCCCCCGCACTGCCTTTCTGCAGGAGCAGGGCCGGGAGCTCGCGTGCTTCTGCCGGTCCCTCCCCACCCGTGCACCTGCCCCGTAAGCAGCGCATCCCTGCCACTCCCTTCGGCTTCCTCATCTCCAGTCAGACTCTTGCTTCCCCAGTTCATGATGATTAATATAGACTCATTTCAGTGCTTATAGAATAAAAAAGAGGCTTACTTGTGGGCCCCACCTTAGGGTCATGGAACCTATTTTTAACCTTTAAAAGACGGCATTTAAAAGACAGCATCATACAAACTCCATGTATTTTCCAGGATCAACTGTACAAATAATGGTTTCTTTCCTTTTGCCTGTAAAAAAGAACGTATATGCTTAGGTTTCTGAGTATTTAAAAGGCTCCTGGGTGCTGCTTATGCACAGTCAAGCTCGAAAACTCCCCATCTAGGCCAGCGCACTAAGCCAACACTTTGCATATCCTTAGTCTGAAGTCACTGTCAACCAGAGCGGTGTTTGTGACTCTCAGGGACAAGAAAGCAATTTATTTCTTCCTTTGGATATTCTAAGCACCATCTCTGAATCAGCTTTGATCTTTAAGAAAAACGACCTCAGTAGTTTAACTTCTCCTCTATGGAAATGACTTCATTCAGTTGTCTTTCAGTGCTACACCCTTGGTTTTTTTCGGGGGTCTGTATGAGAAACAATTGTTTGGACATGTACAGCCCTCAGCTCAATTAGCGTGGAAGATGTGTTTCTGTTCAGAGCTGAGGTCTCTCCATGAGAATTTGCTTCTTGCTTTTAGGAGGCAGTTCATTCAGCAAGAATAGGTGTGGAGTCAGGTGACCTGGACTCAAAGCCCAGCTCTGGTTCTTGGAAGCACTGGGTAAATAGTTATGCTTTTGTTTCTTGATTTCAGAGAAGAGGGGAGAGGGAGAGAGAGATAGAAACATCAATGATGAGAGAGTCATTGATCGGCTGCCTCCTGCACGCCCCCTACTGGGGATCGAGCCCACAACCTGGGCATGTGCCCTGACCGGGAATCGAACGGTGATCTGGTTCATAGNGCCCCCTACTGGGGATCGAGCCCACAACCTGGGCATGTGCCCTGACCGGGAATCGAACGGTGATCTCCTGGTTCATAAGTCAATGCTCAACCACTGTGTTGACAAGAACAATAGCACCACTTCTGGAATTTTCTGGCAAATACCACCGAAAAGATTTTATTCCTGGCTTCCATTTTTTCCACTTGCTTCTCTTGTATCGCTGAGCACCATCTCACACTCTGGTTGCCAAGCTTTTGAAGTTTCTCTAGGAGGGTGTGAGAAAGGAATCACTCTGGCCTCTGGTTTCCTGTTGAGATGCATGCAGGCGCAGGGTACAGCCACTTCTATCCCGAGGCTCTTGGCACTGCTTTCCACATGGTTAATGCAAAAGAAATGTTTTTCTAGTTGATTGATAAAATGATTTAGTTGCAAAGTGCATTTGATAATTTTTAGGTGGTAGGATTTTTGCCAAGCTATCAACAAAAGGATTTCATTTCTTCAGGCATGCATTTGGAGCATGACTCTAATGTGACTTGGCACCTGTCTAGAGAATTGTCGCCGTGTCCAATGACATTTCGCTTTGGGGAAGTCAGCACCTGCTGTAATGGCATCTGTCATATTTAGGACTGTGGCATGTCTATGGATAATGCAGAGCCACCGCAGTAAAATGCCTTCTTCAGAAAACAACACTAGATTTTGGCAAAAGATTGTTGTAAGTGGCATTGAAGAGAATGGGGGCCCCTTCAGAGATAAAAGCAGTAGATGATGTCTTTCACTATGGTTTTTCTCATTGTGACATAAGCTGGGTAGATTTTATTATTTTCAGACTGTTTGGCTAAGAGAGCAAGAACCTGCTAACAGAATTCTTTCTTTTTATTGCTTTAGTACAAACCAACATTAGCCTCCAGACTCAATTCGGATGTTAATGTTTTTGAGGTGAGGTTTTTTGGGAGAGGGAGTGGACTCATCTCAGGCACGTGGTGTGTAACTGGCAACCATCCAGGAGAGCCCAAGCCAAGAGAACTGGAAGCCAGAAGCCCCAAGAGGCAAGGCGGCCCGGCTCCATCATGACAGGCACAAGTAGCTGGTCTTTGAGCCCCTCCCAGTTCCAATGGGGTTGGCTTCAGCTTCTAGGGCTGTTGTTGTAGGAAGTGTGATCAGTTGGACAATTATTTTCCTGCCTCAGCATCTTCTCTTGTCCTCCAAATCCCCAAGTCCAGAAAAGAGGCTGGGGGCAGTGACCAGGAGTAGACTAAATGTCCCCTACCTCTTCTCTTACAGGCAGGTGACAAACATTACCACCCCAGCTGTGCACGATGCAGCAGATGCAACCAGATGTTCACAGAAGGAGAGGAAATGTATCTTCAAGGTAAGGGGGGCTCAGGAACCCAGCACCTTCTCCCACCTGGGGAAAGAAAGCCTTGCTATGTTTGTTTGTTGGATTGTTTTTAGAGAAGGAGGCATTGCATTAGCTGCAAGGCTACCCAGGTCTAAAGTGAATGTGGCCAGAAGTTGCCTCACGGGTTCGTATTATCAGCCATGCCCTTGACATGCCAGTAGTGAGGCCCTGGGGCTGTGAACAAACGAGTGTGTTGCTGCTGAAATGAATGACTAGGCCTGGGTGTTTGGTGCCATGGATGGAGGACAAGGGTGAAGATCACACCGCCTCCTCCCAACCTTCTCCAGGAGCACGCTTGGGAAACAAAAGATGAAAGAGAGAAAGCAGTTCTAGAAATGCTACTCATTGGATAATTACTTTGTCTTTTCCCTTTCACTCTCCTGCCAGAAGGATTTGTTGAGACA